AATCTAGGCTCACAACAACCTCCGCCTCCCAGGTTCAAGCAATTCTCCTGCCTCAGCCCCCTGAGTAGCTGGGATTACAGGCATGTTCCACCATGCCTGGCTAATTTTGTATTTTTAGTAGAGACAGGGTTTCTTCATGTTGGTCAGGCTGGTCTCAACCTCCTGACCTCAGGTGATCCACCTGCCTTGTCTTCCCAAAGTACTGGGATTACAGGCATGAGCCACCGTGACTAGTGACAGCAATATATTTTTTTGAGACAAGGTCTCACTCTGTTGTGCAGGCTGGCAAGCAGTGGGGTGATCATAGTTCATTGCAGCCCAAACTCCTGGTCACAAGCAATCGTCCTGCCTCAGCCTCCCAAGGAGCTAGGACTACAGGCATGCGCCACCTCGCCCAGCTGCCCAGCTAATTTTTTTTTTTTTTTTAGAGATGAGGTCTAGCTATATTGCCCACAATAGTCTTGAACTTCTGGGCTCAAGTGATCCTCTTGTTTTGACTTCCCAAAGTGCTGGGATTATAGGCGTGAGTCACAATGCCTGGCCCGATGCAATATTTTTTACTATCTTTTATCAAGAATTTTTTTCCAGACATAATTTGATTTTCTTTTTACACATACAGTTCATTTGTTCTCATGATATTTCATTGATTATGTAATTACAATAACAAGTGCAAATGACAAAACAGGTTTGGAAGCGAACAAACCTGATTCTTGCCAAGAAACTGGTGAGAAGAGAAATGTACAGAGGTGCTAGAAAAAGGCCCACTGGCTCAGTGGTCAGCATTTCCTTGGCATCAGTTGGCAAGTTAATTGCAGCAATCAGTGACATGGTGGTGAGTTAAGAAAGCTTCTGCTGAATAGCACTTGACAATATCTGTGGTCTTTTTACATCTTCAAAATTACCTTCTAAGGTGGATTATATTAACCTAATTTTTCATATATGATAACAGCCATTATTTCATGAGCAAAATTGGACCAGACCCTGTGTGGAGAGTTCTATGTTTATTCCTTCTTCTGCTTTTCACAACAGTTTTGTGATACGGGCTCAATTTTTACTCCAGCTTTACAGGGGAGTGACCTGATACTTAGAAATATTAAGCAACTTGGCAGGGTGCAGTGACTCATGCCTGTAATCCCAGCACTTTGGGAGGCTGAGGTGGGCAGATCATGAGGTCAGGAGATTGAGATTATTCTGACCAACATGGTGAAACTCCACCTCTACTAAAAGTACAAAAATTAGCTGGGCATGGTGGCACGCCCCTGTA